TCATTCTTGGCAAAATAAAAAAAAGAATTTAAAAAAAGGTTGTGTTTGAGCCAAGAAAAACTAGTTTGAAAATTCACAAATTTTCCGTGTTCTCCTTCTTCTCCTTAAATGTTGACGGACCTACAGCCCAAACCACTGGCTCAATTTTAATGTTTTTTATGTTGTTTGAAAGCCCTTAGCGTGTAGATGTGCCTTTTGAGGGTCACAAGTCGGTGCGTTGACCCATAAACCCTTGGCAAGCCCTCAAAGTACGATTTTGGCCCATTTAAATAACATGGGATTAAAATCAAAACAAAAGAAGGATCAGCTGCGATTAAATCTCAATTAATTTAAAATGTTAGAGAAATTCATAGGATCAGCTGAAAAATTATTTTAAAACTTTTATAAAGTATTTTTTTCAGGTATACCGAATGATTTGAGCTACTTACTATATAAAATTACTTAGAGCAGTGATATTCCCCGATACTTTCCATTGAAAAATGCAGTGTACCGATGGTACACTGGTACAGCAGCTCGTCATTTTTAACAGTTTAATACTACTTATCAAAACATATGAAACCTAGGAACTTGAAACTTAGTACTAGTACTAAGGTTAGTTTTAACATTGTTTCTTCATAATATTGCCAAAATTTATTTAACTAAATAAGGTTAGTTTTATGTTTTGATACACTAAAACAAATAAAACAATCGGGAAAATCCGTCTACGTATGTTAAACAAGCAAAAAAGTGAATGTAAAAAGTGATATGTAAATTTAGGATAAAAATGAGTTTTTCAATATTTGTTTTGCCTTATGCTATTTCTAACAAACCTAATCTGTTTGATTACATTTTTACTTCTCTAATAAGGGCTCAATTTACACTAGTCTTTAGATATACGGGTTTAATTATCGGAACACTTATGTAACACCAATGCATTTTATGTGTAGTTGTGCCCTGGTCTATATAAAAGAGAAAAGAGGATTTTTATTTTAACTGTTAATTTTCTACAAAAATAAATACAATCTAACAAAAAACCACTAAGTGGTAACACTTCCCCCACCAAGTCAGCAACCCAAAAAAGACAATAAATCACCACTTTTCCGCCAAGTAAAACAATGTAATGTATGTAAGTTTGGCCACTTGGCGGCAGACTTTTGCTTGATCACTTTAAAAAATACCATAAAATTAGTTTCATTGAGCAAGTATCTCTCCCAATAGTACATTGCTAGATGAGAGCTTATTTTACAAAATTTTACCTTATTTGTGTCACATTTCATAAAATCATAATAGTGATGGTTTTATATTTACTGATTACCTCGAAATTATTATACTTAGTTGGACTAATTAATTAGAGAAGTTGATTTGTGAAATTATCCACCAACGTAACTTTAATGAAAAAAAAACAAGCAAAAGTCTGCCGCCAAGTTGCCAAACTTACATACATTACATTGTTTTACTTGGCGGAAAAGTGGTGATTTATTGTCTTTTTTGGGTTGCTGACTTGGCGGGGGAAGTGTTACCACTTAGTGGTTTTTTGTTAGATCAAACATACCGTACTCCCCTAGTAGATTTCTCATCCCGTATGGAACAGCTGAAGCCGGTGCATAACCAAACAGTAAAGCACAAATCCTTAAATTAACCCTAAAATAATAAAAAAAATCCGTCGACACTAACGCACGCAGTGTCGCCGAACATGAACTAGACACGAAAGAATATAGCAATTATAGTAGGTCTCATGGTAAGACTAGATCCAGGACCGATTTACTTTTTCGTTTTGATAGGGTGTTTTACGGGGTGAAAATTGATTTTTCCTATGTTTGACCCTAAAAACACAAAGTTTTATAATTTCCCTCCAAGCCATTTTGTAGAGCTTACAATTTTTTATGAATATTTTAGTAAAAATCGAACCCGGTAAATGGAAATTCTGCAAAGTCTACAGGTTTGTTGCGGCGGGGGTATTATTTACATAGATTTTTGGTTCTTATGTCACTGAATTGTATTCACAGCATTAGTCATCAACATAAATTTCTGTGTATTCAAAATATACTGAACTAATAAGTAAACAATTGAAACATAATTCAAAGAGTTGAATATAGTCGAGTAAATCCGTAAGACAACCCTAAGAAAATTGCTTAGTTAAAGATTGGTTATTTTGACTAAGAATTGTGTGCATTTACTAGTGAAATGGTGTAAAGAAATCGGAGTCTCTGAAGTCCAAAATTAAAGATGGCGTAAACGATTTTTGTCAAATACTTGTATACTGTTCATTCAAACATTTTTTATTTATGAGTATTTTTTGCCTGAAACAAACATTGTTGGGGAGAGTGTATTTAATTAATCTGTTGGGTATATTTATATTTATGCTGTTAGGAGATAGTTACGTTTCTAAATTTCAAATATTGTCAAACATCTAGAGTTGTTTACAATCGCATATAAACCACTCATTCGTTCTGCTAGGGCAATTAGTCGGCTTCTTAACAAAGCAGTTGAGACCGTCCTTCTGCGTAAAGAACAAATACGGTCACAAAAACTCCTTTTCTATCTAGGACCGTGGGGTGGTAGTCCTATGTGGCCTGTGGTCTATGTGATCAGTAGCCTACTGATTGTCGTGTCAGCCGAGTAACATTGTTTTCTTTCAGCATCTCACGTATTTCATTAGTCTTAAATTATGACTCTTAATCCACATTTAGTAGTTTCGTTATAGAAATTAATTTATTACAGTTTCACTATACAGTCCACTGATATAATTTGTTTATATCATATCTACATCAATAAAATCATAGTTTAGTTGAAAGTGTTAGTTTGTATTATTACCAAAACATTGGCGCATCACGTGCCGCAACAATTATTAGTAGGTGTGAAAATAAAGAACATAAGCTAAAGATCAACATGTATATTTTATTTACTTAAATATGTCATATTTATGACGGAAACATGATCTTAACCTACATTAATTTTGTATTTAAAATAACGGCATTATAGCTCAGTTCCGATTGCTTATACAATTATTAACGTGGAACACATGGGTTATGGTTTAAACGCTTGAATCAATGCAAATGTGAATGTCAATATAACTTTTTTAACGATATTTTTCGTATATATTTCGTGGTTTTGCTGATATACTCACCATCATGTCCTCTTATGCAATAATTAGTAGCCAAAATGGTGGAATCCGAAACTGTTAAGGATTTATTTCTAGGTTATAGCTAGCTAGAACTGTACCGCTCTGTTTTAGAATAAGTTCATGACCAATCCTGAGGGTTTTTAATTAACATGTAAATTCAGGTCTCCAAAAATGTCTAAAATTACATCTCTATCTGTGTTTTTACTCCCCCTTCATTACGAACAACGTGTATCTAATTACACCAATACCTATCTTTACACAAACGTTCTCTTCCTTCACTTAAAATTGTTGGTAAAAATAATTATGAAGCTCAATGGTGAAGGTCAATAACAATATACTATATGGAACCCTGATGACTCCGCTCAATTTTGTAAATGCCTCTGCAAACGCCACCTAGTTAATATACAGTATATAGATGTGTCATAATTAAAAGAATCCGGAACCGCAGTAAAGCAGTATATAAAATACAGGCTGAAAATCATGAAACAGTCTTGTTCCCATCCGTGGTTCAGGACTAAAAGTGAAGTTTAAATTTTGATTGTAAAATAGACACCTAAGTAATCATTATCAAGTAAATTGTTATGGAACATGCTCAGGTTCATTGTTCATAAGCATGTGCAATATTTGATGTAATACTAAAATTTAAAGGCTTTACTTTCAATTTTTTTAAATTTTATTGTTAAATTTAAAAGTGATTACTAGAACCAATATTTATAATTTATAATAGTATAGATTCCGTTGCACATTGCAACGTGCTTGCAATTATACAGGTCTTATAATAATAATGTTTCATTTTTAAAATCCGAATGGAATTAATAATAAATAAAAGTTTTTTCTCCCACTGGTAGCTACGGGCCAGTTCTGGTTACGATAATTATAAATCTTTGTGTTGTGAGAGAAACGCCACCGAGCGTCCTTACTCGATAATGGGGGTGAAAGGTGCCGAATTACCCAACCGGCCTTGGCGCGGGGATTTCTTAAGCGTCCGTCCGCGCGCACCACCATTTTGAGGGTGTCCGCGTCAAACACGTCCGGGCTAAACACGGAGCCGCAAGAACCGGACCCAGTGGAGTAGACTTTCTCTTTCTGTTACTGTCTATGAGTCTGTCTCTCTCCAGTCTCTATCCTCTCTGTACTCCTCCCTGTCGCACGATTTGTTTTTCAGGATTAATTTTGCCAACAGTGTCATTTTGAGCTTCTGATCGACTATTGAAGGTTTATTAATCGAAAAATTGGTTCTTTTCATTAAATAAAATTATAAATGCCTAAAATTCAATTTTATATTTTTTAATAATGAAATTAAACTGTCATAACTTAACCAAACTAACCAGACTTGCTGATAATGAAAAATCGAATGAAGGTTTAATCGAAAGAATAGTTCTGTTTATAAAATAAAACTATAAATGGCTCAAATTCAATTTTGTTTTGATTATCAAATTAAAAGGTCATAACCTAACCAAACCAACCAAACTTGCTGATAATGAAAAAAGTTCGAACGCGGAGGGATTCGAACCAGGCCCTACCGTTTGTCAGTCCTGTACTGAGTACTCTATCCACTTTGCCACCGAGGTCGGTGACCTGTTTCGTTCCGGTAAATGGTGTTTCCTCAGCCAATCAGAAGCCTCAAAATTACGCTGTTGGCAAGATAAATCCTGAAATAAAAATTCAGCCTCCTGCACTCACCTCACCTCACCACTCAACTTGAAACTCGAACTCACTCACACTATGACTATAATTTTCCAGTTACCAGCACCCAGCACCAGCGCATATAGTATAGTCACCTATCCTATCAGTCAAGCAAGTCACCACTCTCCACTCTCGCACTCCCTCTCATTCTCTCTCCTTCTGTATTCTCTTCTAGTATTCTCATTCTGTAACTCTAACTCTGCACTTGCTCTGTCTGTCTATGCGTTTTTGTGTACTACTGCAGTAAGTGAGAGGCGATACCCAATATCGGGGTAGTTGGAATAGTGAAAATCCCTTAGATAAATAATTTGATCGATAACTATATCAAATACGCCTTTCCCAAAATGGTTTGTATGATTATAATATGTAATGTACATTTTAAGCTACTCAAGGGACTGTAAATTTTAGTCAGCCAAGTCTAACCTAATTTTACAGTAATCAATTTTTTTGGGGAAATGTCCAATCAGATAAACGAAAGATAAACAGGCTTAGCCTAACTTTGTTATACCCCTTAGTAATTTCGCAATCTAGGCCTAGACTTAAGTGAAATTATAAAGTAGGCCTATGTCTCATTAACTTCAGCCATAGGTCTAGGCCCTAAAGAGTTAGATCCTTCACAGACTAGAGTCAAGATATATTTTTGGGGGCTGCACTTTACTTTAGGTCCTACACTCATTCAAATGAAAATATCGATTATTCGATTGTTTCATACGATACATCGTTTGGCTAGTTAGGTTAGGTTAGGAGTGTAACGTGCCTATTTTGAGGGGGGGGGGGGTAAAACTAGCTTTTTTATATTTCTAGTTTAACCCTAGGCTACAAGTCCTAACTAAGGTTATAGGTTAGAAAGCTACCCTTAGTTTTAACATCACTAGGTATGGTAGGTAAGTTTTATCACTGTTGTGTTTGGTAATAACCAAGTGCAGAACGAGAGTTATTAATTCTGTAGCAAAATATAAACCTTATACAGAGTTTTATCTAGCTTATTGACTCACCAGCAATGTGTTTTGCAAGTTAGGGCATAAACCGGCTTAAGACTTTGACGACACTTTCTACACTTGGTAAACCCGCAGATCGCGGCATTAGGCCAATAACTTAATCCGTCTCAAAGACGTGAAGGAGATTGGTGTGAGCAATATAAACCGACAACTCGTGTGAAACAAACCCAACATAACCACACACAACAAGCTCAAGTTTCTGACTATTAACGAATGCCTCCCCCAAGGATGGCCCTGTTTAAAAATATTGTAAATTAAGACTCGTCGTTTAAATATTCATTGAGGCATTTTTTTTCAGTCCGAGCAACAGATGGATTGTGCGCTAGACTTGATGAGACGACTTCCTCCTCAACAAATTGAGAAAAACCTCAGCGATTTGATAGACTTGGTTCCAAATCTCTGTGAAGATCTTTTATCTTCAGTTGATCAACCCCTGAAAATTGCTAGAGACAAAGAATCTGGCAAAGATTACTTGCTGTGTGATTACAACAGAGATGGAGATTCGTACAGGTATTTACTGTTTCAAAAATATTTCTCTTTGTTTTGTTTGTATTTCCCTCCTCCTTCCCCTTCCTGTTTCAGATGTTATTTTGTGCTGATTACTAGGTATTTTTAAGTAAAAAAATTGGTAGCCACAAAAACAGTCCCGATTTAACCCAATGGCATGTGCGATTTTTATATCTTCATTTCTTTACCAATATTTTTTAGACTAGGCTTTGGCCTATTTCTTAAAATGTCTTGTTAGGGCTTATTGATTTTAACACAATACATCAATATTAAACCAAAATATTAAAAAAAAGCATAAAAGCATACATGACAAAAAATTGAGCTCGAAGGAGTAGGAAGGTTTAGGTTATACCTAATTCCAGCAGTCCTTAAAATAATCTGCCAATGAAATAAAGATTTAGTCTTGAGCCATTCTTTTAAAGAAAGTCTGAACTTATAGGGATTTTCTAGAGTAATTCAACTTGTTGGTAAGTTATTTAAGATTTTTGGACCAATGTATTGTGGTGATATCTCGAATATTTGTAAATTATGAGCTACAGGTTTGATAATATTCTTTTTTCTTGTATTGTAATTATGTTGAGTTTGTGTCTCCATAAAAGTGGAGAGGTTTCTATGGACCCAGCATGCTATTTCCAAAATATAGCCTAGTGATTGTAAAAAGAAAGAACTTTAAAGTTTTGAAACAGTTTTTTACTCTAGGGGTTCTAGGGGGAATTTTGGCAGTAATTCGTATTACTTTTTTTTTCTTTTTACCACGTTTCTATTACTGTAGCTCACTTTCCTGTCTGTTTGGTACAAATTTTGCAATCGATTTGAAACTAACTTCCCGATGAGCTAGAGACTTGAAACTTAAACATAGCTCACAAATGGATGACTGCAGTATAAAATCATTTAATTTTCATATTTCCCTTGGGCTACGCCCCATAGGCTTCTTAAGTTTCAATGTTTACATTATGGAAGAATCTAAATATAAAATAGCCTAGATTTAACATATTTTCACATTATATACTAAAAAGTAAAAAAATACCTCATTTTAAAACGCACTAAAAAGTAGGACAATTAAAAATATGTGGAGAGAGTAAATACTTGTAAGATTTAAAACGTATAACATGGGGCGCATGCAATAGATAAAGAGGGGTTAGTAATTGTTGATAGGAAAGAAATAAATTAACATAGTAGGCCTACATCCTGTTTTTTTTTTACGTCCAGTCTATATTTCCTAATTGAGGTTAAAAGTATCTAATAATTCAATATGTGAAGAAAATCTTAAATAAGTTATTGTATGCGCCCCACGTTTTTCGTTTTAAATCTTAGTATTTATTTTCTCCACATATTTTAAATTATTTTATACTTTTTAAGGCGTAAAAAAACGTGGTATTTTTAAATAAGTTGATTTATTTATATAAATACAGTAGAACTCTAATTATTCGAACTATAATCAACCGAATTGCCGATCATCCAAATCGCTTATTTCAAGAATTTAAAAAAAGTAAAGCTACAGTAATATAGTCAGGTCCATAAGTCCAATGATCAAGGACAGCTGGGTCCAGTATCAAAGAATCAAAAATTTACTCACTTTTCTTAGAATCGAACTGGCAACCTTATGACTAGGCAAGCACTATTTAACCACTTGGAAGTTACCCTTATATGAAAGATTTTATGTGACGGTAACAATGATTAATGGCTCCGACGGTTTCAGGTCACCATGGAGCAACACCTACGACCCTCCACTTGAAGATGGTTCAATGCCTTCGGAAAGATTGAGAAAACTAGAAATAGATGCAAATCACGCATTTGATCAATACAGAGAAATGTACTTCGAGGGTGGTGTTTCATCTGTGTACTTGTGGGATTTGGACCATGGTTTTGCTGGTAAGCATTAAGCTCAGTTGTGATTTAAAATTGTTTCAGTTCAGATACAAAATATAATTTTAACACATATCATAATTTAGAAGCTGTAAAAGCCTCTTAAGGCAAAAGTATCTTGATCTGGAATCGGATTACTTTCAGAGTATGTGGTTTATGATGAAAATATTTCATAACAAGATATTCTTTTGTAAAAGGTTATGAGGGAACCCCTGGATGTGTTTAAAAGCCTTTGAACTCCTTATTTAACAAAATAGTTTTTTGTATTATGTTATTTCCTTATCTTATGGATTAAATTTAAAATCTTAATGATCAACTTGAAACCTAATCGAAATAGTCGATTTAAGAAGTTTTTAATTATTTAAGTTGAGTTTAAAGGATTAAGAAACTGATTTTGGTCAGTGTATCAACAAGTAACTGAGAAAAGGGAATTTTTACCGTTGTAGCAGACTATGTGAGAAGCTCATTTGGCTTTGTTCTATTTGTGTAATAAATTAGTAAGTGGTGGTCCTTATACAGGGTGTCCCGGAACTCTCGACCAATATTTTAGGGCATTGCTCCTGGGTAAGAAACATACCTAAATATCATATTTAAATTGTCCGGAAGTCCTTAATTACTCACACAGCCGCCATTTTGTTTTTTTCAGTTATTAATTTTTTTCTAAAGAATGGTTAAACATACGAAATGGAAACTTTGCACAAACATTAATGACAACTAGACAAAGCTACAAAAAAATTATGACGATTTTTCAAATTCATAAAACAAAATGGCGGCCATTTAAAATTTTTATAAAATCAACGGTTTTTGAGCTATTTAAGAAACAACATTTTAAATGGTCGCCATTTTGTTTTATGAATTTGAAAAATCTTCATAATTTTTTTGTAGCATTGTCTAGTTGTCATTAATGTTTGTGCAAAGTTTCCATTTCGTATGTTTAACCATTCTTTAGAAAAAAATTAATAACTGGAAAAAACAAAATGGCGGCTGTGTGAGTAACTAAGGACTTCCGGACAGTTTAAATATGATATTTAGGTATGTTTCTTACCCAGGAGCAATGCCCTAAAATATTGGTAGAGAGTTCCGGGACACCCTGTAGATGAGATGTCTTCTTCTATGCCTAAAATCAATGGCTGTATCAAGCCGCATGTCTCTTGTACTAAAGTGCTGATCCAGATGTGAAATGGTACTTTTCTGTTAAAGGGAACATTCATTAATATCAAAGATTATTTTTGATATGTTAATATTTGATTTTTTTATAAAACTAGCTGAACCTGGCAGACGTTGTCTTTCCTTTGACTATTTATAATTTAAGTACCGTAACGTTTAATTGTCTTATTGTATATGCAATGCTTATAACTAAATTAAAATACGTGTGACAACTAATGAAACACATATACCGGTAGTACAAAGGATAACCGATTCTTTATTATTGCTCTTATATTAATGCTAGTGGGTTGACAATATTTTTGGTCTTTCTATTCGGCTCAATCACGTCCTGGTTGAAGTTCGTTCGCTACGCTCACTCACCTTTAGGTTGGAGCTCGTTTGATGCGCTCACTTGCCTTCAGGTTAGCTCGTTCACTACGCTAACTCGCCTCCAGATTGAAGTTCGTTCGCTATGCTCACTCACATTTTGGTTGCAAATTAGCTGTTGTCATAAATGTAAAAGAAATAATAGTGCTGCACCCTGTTGGTAATCCTTGTAACTTTAATGCTATTGAACATCATAGAACAGAACCAACTTGTTTAATTGAAACAGCTGTTAAGATTCATTAATTCCATTTCTCATAAGGTTAACATGGGAAACTCCAGAGCCACTGGGGCGGAGCCGATTGGACGGATCACGAAATTGATGGTGTATAAACGTATTCCATGAAATTCTACACGTATGTACCAAGTTTCGTGGCAATCGGTTCAGTGGTGTCTGAGTTTATCACTGCCAAATATATATATATATACAAACATCCTCTTTTATACTTATAGATACATATATCAATATTAACGGAGTGAAACATATCAGCTGGCAACTAAGATAATAAAATCATCAACAAACAATAAAAAAAATTATATTGAGATGAAACTGTTGTTTAGAACTAACCTAAAACCAAACTTGCTGTAACATTTCAAAATTCTGTTTGATAGTCCCCACATGCCTTTTCTGTTATCAAAAAGAATTTTTTAATGCTACAGCAAGTTTGGTTGGTTATGTTAGGTAACTTTAGAACAGTATAATTTCTTAATCCATATTTATTATTTTTGCCTAAACAAGTTCAGTTGTGCATTTTAAATTTAACAGGAAAGTACCGATGAAATAAATTGAAATAATTTCTTATTAAATTAAATTTTTTAATTATTCCTCAAACCACCAAGTGCGTTTGTAATTTGATAGGTACAATGTCTGTCTAGGTGTTATCCTGATAAAGAAAGCAGGTGACGGGTCCAAAAAGATAAAAGGATGTTGGGACTCTATACACGTAGTGGAGGTGCAGGAGAAGTCACGTAGTGCTCGCTACAAGTTGACATCCACTGCCATGTTGTGGCTGCAGACCAATAAGACAGGCTCCGGTACTATGAACCTGGGCGGCAGCCTCACCCGACAGGTACGGCTAGTTTTACAATTCCACACCAAGAGATGCAATTTTGATACAAATAAAAACAATGTGTTAGTATTTATAAGAGGTTTAAAATTATGTAGGCCTGTAATATTGCATAGGCCTATGTTTGCTATGTTTGTATGTGACAATGAGATTCAAACTAGTGAACCTCTGGATTTGGTACATCCTGCGTTCCAAAAACGTTTGAAATATTTTTGCGCTATTCCTTAGGATTGATTTAGTGGGAATTCTGTCATCTCATCCAACATTTGTCTGAAAATATTGACAACCTTACATGATTCACCGCATAGGCTTTTAAGATCCTCTAAACAAATAGTTCTTACGACCACAGTTATACAGTAGCTTCTTCCCTACAGGAAAAAAATGTATGAGACTGACGTGTCATGCTTCACTTTATTCAGTCTAAGGTCGCAATGTTAAGTCTATTTTGCCATTATATAAAATTGTAAATGTCCTTTGTTTTAAAATTATTTTCAATCAAAATTTAATCTGGAAATAAAAACCAAACTATTAGGGTTCACAAGGAAGTAGTATTGAGAAAAGCATTAATCAGAACATTAATATTCTTCAGGTGGAATCCGAAGCCAACGTTTCGGAAGCGTCCCCGCACATTGCAAACATTGGAAAAATGGTTGAGGACATGGAAAATAAGATCCGAAACACTCTCAATGAAATATACTTTGGAAAGACGAAGGACATCGTGAACGGGCTGAGGAGTGTGCAGCCGCTGTCAGACCAAAAGGCTCAAGCAGCTGTTAGACACGAGTTAGCGGCGGCACTGCTGAAGAGAAATGCTAAGGCTGACAACTGAGGAACACTGGTCTACATGGTATGTAATCTACCGGTTCCTGATATCTCCGATCTCATGGATAAGTCCCCTCTCTATATAAGTTGGGCCCCAGATTCCCTTTAAACCTACGGAGCTTAATAATGTTGATTTCTATTTAGTCTTCTTGTTAAGTGTTTTAATGTGATATCTTATTTACTCCAAAGTAGATATTTCATCTGTGGGCGCTGTGAAGATCGCTCTGTTTTCCGGTAAAGTTGAGAGCAGTATAAGTTTTTGATGGTCCAGCGTTAGTCTCCTATGCCCTCATCTCCTGTAATCCTTATCAATAAATTGTTTGTCATATCATAATAAGTAAACATGTTACTGTGCCACTAATAAATGTCATTAAATTTGTCCATATTAGGCCTGCATAAATACATACCTAATACAATTATGCATTTCGCTTAGTTTGAGATATCTAGGTATGTTTTATTGATATCCAGATAGATGAGGATTCACTGTATTACATTAAATTTTATGAGCTATCTTATTGAGTGAAAGGATACAAATTAAGGTAATTCTGAGCAATTACTTGGTCAACCCCAAACTTTTTCATATTTTACTACGATAATGTAGAGATGTATGTGAAACTAAAAAAACATAATTTAGGCCCCGGAAAGTTAATATATGCTATATACAAATAGAAATTACCTCAGTAATCGCCGGGTTCAACGTCCTCATCCGAGTCAGCGGCAACTGGATCAGTGTTCTGTCCCGATGGTTCCCTGTTGTAACCTAACCTAACATAACGGTACTGTCACAACTGGCCTTGTTATTGCGTGGACTTTGAACCCTCTTATGGCTCGGCAACCTGTACGATGGCCTTGCATTATATGTTTCTTGTTTTCTGAGAACATCCTTATGAACGTAGTGAAATATGAAAAAGTTTGGGATTGACCAAGTAATTGCTCAGGATTACACAGATAAAATCAACTTTTTTAGTAAATTTCAATGCTTCATTTTGACTGGAGATGTTCAAGTAGCAACATTGGCCTGATTTTGTTTTTAAATTTACATAAATCGCTCTCAATCTATAAAAGTATTCTTGAAATATTTTGGAAATATTTATCATTAAAAGAAGGTATAACAATTTTGTGAAAAAAGACGTACCTAAGGGTTCAAAAGATTTCTGAACCTAAACTTATAAAAAAATATGGATAGGCCTATATCAAACATGTTATTTGTCAGTCACTATACTTATGTGACGCAAACTTCCTGCCGGCGAAAACTCGTATGGTAACGCAGGAAATTCTGCCACCTTAACAATCGACGAAGTCCCAGGAATCGCACGAGTCGGGTTGCTGGGATTTTCCAGGAGTCTATAGTGATTAGGATAGCCTCAGTGTTGATAGTCTCGGTTATCAAAGCTCAGAACAAATAGTGTCCCTAGACACCACTCTAATAGTCACCACTCTAGTCAGAGGAGTTTGTGGGGGACCGATAATTTTGTCGGACTCTGTGGGTGATAATTACTTAAAATGCTACAAACCACTTAATTATACGAGCAATAAACTAAGTAGTTTCACCCTGCTAACCTACAGGGTTATACGTGAGAACCTGAAACAAAGGTAGCCAAGGTCCCACAGAGTCTGAGTTTACTAACAGAAAGTTGGCAAGTTGCCAGTCAAAGAACAAAGTAAAGGTCGAAACAAAAAATAAAACTGGTGCTTAAACTTAAAAACAAAACTAAAATTTGCACTTCCTCACGTGGACAACTTAAGCAAACTTTTGCCAAACTAGGCAAGCAGAAACCTGTCTCCTGGGACAAACTTGTGGACGTCACACTAAAATTTAAAAGGATTAAAAATTAAAAAGAGAGTCTAGAGTTTCAATACGGATTTCAAAACACTAATTTAAAGAGGGTGTCACCAACTACAATTTCCCCACTTAATTGGTTGGTTAAATAACGTAGGACTTGCAACTCTGGAATGGAAATTGATCAAAACAACGATTTTTGTACAAACGCAAAAAGAACTCCTAACTTTGAATATAGCTGGGACGAGAATGCACAGACAGCCTCTTCACAAACGCCACGATTTTTGAGAAGAAGACTAAGTCTCCCGCTGGTTGGTCATCAAGTTACAAAAAGTTAGAAAAAGGCTGAGACTCATAACATCAAAGTCCGGCACGACTTGCTTGTAATATTTCATTTCATTTCATTCATTATTTAATATTAAGTTTTTTAAAAAATGTTAACTTCTATTCATACACCTAATAATCACTCCTCAGAAAGAGTGTCCTAATATTCATTTTCCTAATTTATATAATTTCATTATGTTCAATTAATCATTAATAATATTCATCCATAGCCTATATATATATTTTTACAACGCCCACAACCTAATTATTTATTAAATATGTAAGAGAACTGCAATACATCAAAATTTCTTATAATATCATTTCAAAATTAGTCCTTAAGGAATCAAAATTTAAGAAGCAGTGAAAGTGATCCCATGTGTTCAACAATCAGTGATGTGAACATTGAAATTGAGAGAGAAGGAAGCCATTGAGAAGTTGAAATTGTTAGAAGAAGGACTCAAAATTTTACCTAAATCAAATTCATTCATCAAGAAGACCAGTTTCAAGTTATATCACAGTTTTTTTTAGCCTAAACCTCAAGAGGACTCAACTCAATCATCATCTTCAAAATTTGTGAGGGAATTTCTGTGTGTGTGTCGTTTTCGTTATCTTATTACCAAAGATAGTTCAGCAGTGCTGGGTTTAAAATTCCAGGGGTCGATATGAATCAACAAAATATTGTTGTTCTGAAATTCCACTCAATATTAAATTCGTTTCGAATAATCTAGAGTATCAATCGTCTGTGTTCAATCAAATTTCTTTATTGAAATGATAGGGTAACTCAGTGAAATGTGCGAACCAGTTGTCGCTATTCACTCATCATCGTTACCCTATCAGACGCAAGAGAAAACGTTGTCGTGTATAATTTATGTGTAGTGTTATCTGTCAATTCAATTCTCGCGTTAGAGTCTATTTCAAGAATTAGGTTCGATAGCTTGTACAGCTAGTTAGGATGCTGAATGTTCTTCGAGCAAACTAGGATCGGTGTCAAAGGTTATAGGATCAAACTAAACCTTGCTACGCTCCGATCGTTACCCTAACCCCACGCAAATGCGCTCTATACAACCAAGAGGTTAAGGATAGATAGCCTGCACAGCTAACTAGGATGCTGAATATACTTCAGCAATCTAGGATAGGTTACGGTAGGTTAATCGTTACCTAAACGCCCGTATACACCTCGTTCACTACCCTAACCCCATGCAAATGCGCTATAAACAACAAAGTGGTTAAGGATAGATAGCCTGCACAGCTAACTAGGATGCTGAATATTCTTCAAGCAATCTAGGATAGGTTACGGTAGGTTAATCGTCACCTAAACACCCGTATGCACCTCGTTCGCTACCCTAATCCCACGCAAATGCGCTCTAAACAACAATAAGGTCAAGGGTAGATAGCCTGCACAGCTAACTAGGATGCTGAATATTCTTCAAGCAATCTAGGATAGGTTACGGTAGGTTAATCGTTACCTAAACGCCCGTATGAACCTCGGTCGCTACCCTAAACCCACGCAAATGCGCTCTAAACAACAAAAAGGTTAAGGGTAGATAGCCTGTACAGCTAACTAGGATGCTGAATATTCTTCAAGCAATCTAGGATAGGTTACGGTATGTTAATCGTTACCTAAACACCCGTATGCACCTCGTTCGCTACCCTAATCCCACGCAAATGCGCTCTAAACAACAATAAGGTCAAGGGTAGATAGCCTGCACAGCTAACTAGGATGCTGAATATACTTCAGCAATCTAGGATAGGTTACGGTAGGTTAATCGTTACCTAAACGCCCGTATGAACCTCGGTCGCTACCCTAAACCCCACGCAAATGCGCTCTAAACAACAAAGAGGTTAAGGATAGATAGCCTGCACAGCTAACTAGGATGCTGAATACACTTCAGCAAACTAGGATAGGTTACGGTAGGTTAATCGTCACCCAATCGCCCGTGTGAACCTCGTTCACTACCCTAAACTCACGCAAATGCGCTCTATACAACAAAAAGGTTAAGGGCAGATAGCCTGTACAGCTAACTAGGATGCTGAATATTCTTCAAGCAATCTAGGATAGGTTACGGTAGGTTAATCGTTACCTAAACACCCGTATGAACCTCGTTCGCTACCCTAAACCCACGCAAATGCGCTCTAAACAACAAAAAGGTTAAGGGTAGATAGCCTGTACAGCTAACTAGGATGCTGAATATACTTCAGCAATCTAGGATAGGTTACGGTAGGTTAATTTGGATAACTAAGACCCCCCACTATCCTTTAATGATCCCAAATAATCAACAGGCTAACGCTAGCTATGCGAGCACTAAAACAGCTATCCTAGGCTATTTATAAAACAGCTATCTATATTCACGCAATCGTTCAAGTCAATCAAGTTGGATAATAATAATAAGTATTATTATTATACGAAATAAAGATGTTATTAACCAATCAGTTGTTAGGCTATTATAGCTAGCGGCTATTCAGATCAAAATCAAATGCTATATCGCTAGTCAATGTCGAGGATCCAATCACTAACAACCATAATCAACGGCTAAATATAAACTATTATTCCGGTAGTAGATTCGGTGTTAACTTCGATAGCTATAGATTTCAATACGATCGATAGTTCGGACCAGACGCAAAATAATAACAAAACGTCGAGCAGAACACTGTATATACACATATATATTTGTATATGTTATGGTCTGTTGTGTTGTGCGTGGCAAATAGGTTATGTCGTTATTAAATCGTAAACACCTTATAGCTAATTAATTGTGTCTCGTAACTCTCTCTACGTTGAATTAAGTACCAGAAATTCGTTAAGCATACAAGATAGGGTAGTAGGCTATAGAATGGCGTACACTGCCCAAAGGATGCTGCTTATACTTCAGCAAAAGGAGAGGTGTTTGGAAGGCAACATTGAGTTTATATGACGTTATATT